TCAGCCTCCATGATGACGAGGGTGATGCTGGTGATGTTGTTGCGGTGTCACGATGGCTGGACGCACGTGACGAACACCGTGGGGACGTGAATGTCCGTGATCGTTTAGCCTCCCGATCGTGAGACGAGCCACCCCTGGTGGCTTGTTAAATGCAGAATTTAGAGTTTGGGTGTGGGTCAGTGAAGCGATGAAAACGTTACCACAAATTGGTTTCAGGATTGTGTTGAATAAACTCACATTTGTATTTGTTTTCATTGTAACGACTTATAATACCCCTGCAGACGTATGGATATTTCGAATTGCATTTCTCCAGTAATTCTGATGTTAAATAAAGCGAAATAGTGATGTTATACATGACCAGATATCGAACGCGATAAAGCCAACGCCTGCATCTTATTCTTAAACCATTTTACACTGCGCACAAAACCGGGGTCGGGACACAGATTTCGCGACTTCTCGATCGCCGATTTGTCGGAACAAAATCCGTGAAGGGCGCTCTCTGTGAGCTCAAATTGGAGCTGATTTTGTACAAGTTAAAATTATTTTCGCCGTAAACGATCGTACGGATGCCAGCGAAAGTTCGCATAGCATGGCGGCGGAGCATGTGGTACAGCTGTGACATCTCCACGAGCAAATCAAAGGGACAAACTGCAAAAGTAAAAATCACGAGCCGCGCCAGCAAGGATTGAGAGCTATGGGATGCAAATCAATGAATTGTCGCAACTCTGGTTCATATCGCGCACCATTCACACTCGATAAATATGCTTTGTCCAGGCGAGTTGTCGAGTCTGCTTAACTCCCTCGGCAGTCAGCTGTGTCCTGGGATCAGTGTTGAGCCAACTTGACTTCACCACGACAGGCAAGTCCCTCCGCCTTCCCTGGGCACCCGACCAATCGCCGTTCACTTCGCCCCGGTGTGTTTGACCTGCGATCGGACCAGTTTCGTTTCTCGAGGGGTGAAGCTTATGGGTCAAATTTCGATTTAAAGCTTTCGTGACTGCAGGGATTCATCTTCTTGGTTCTTTCGGTAAAGTCACGTAGAAGGGAAGTAATAAAATAATAAAAATAAAACATAATAAAATAATTCTCACGACGTTACTGGCCACAACGCAATCAGCCGTCCTTAGGTGAAGACCAGGTCTGTCGGGGAGACAGCGTCTGCTTGCGTTGTAGCCGAAACGTCGTGAGAATTATTTTATTATGTTTCATTTTTATTCTTTTATTACTTCCCTTCTACGTGACTTTACCGAAAGAACCAAGAAGACTTATGGGTCAAGTTGGGCTCTGCCTGAACGACAAATTGTGGAGATGCCCCGGTGAAGTCCGGCGTCTTCTGACTAAACACGGGTTAATCAGTGTCCTGCTGCGCGGACCTGTTATTGTGTGTCCGCTGACAGCTTATTTTGACTGCGGTGTCTTTGTTTGTCTGGCCTCCTTCTACCTACTGGGGAGACAAATGCAGCTGGGCGTTGTGATACGGGCTATGCCACCATCATTGTGCACTTTTTCCGACGTTAATAGGTGCTCGCGAACAGGACCTGCCCTCTCAGACTATGTTAGTCTACGTGGGAAATTTTTGTTGTCTTTGTGTAAATTTTGTACAGTACTGCAAGTATTGTGGGTAATGCAGACATGAATCCTTGTAAAAAAAAGGTTTCAGTTTTGTTGCCAGAAAAAAGGGGAAACTTCCTATTATTATATTTTGGTACTGACAAAGGAGGTCCAATGATGAAGCATTGTGTGTATTTGGTTAGCGCACTGGACTTGCAAGCCAGAGGTAGTTGTTTCATCTCCTAGTGTGTCTGTGTGCCCCAATGTGTGCACGCGCGTGTGTACAGCCAGATTATTGCGCATGGCTACCACTTAGCCGATGTTTTAATTGTAATAACCCATATTTAATGTAAAAAATAGCTTGATGATTATCCACCCAAAAATGGTTATTAATGCGATAAATTATAATGTATTATATATTTGGGATTTGTTTTCATAAACACCATTTGCTTAATGCATTAACCACTGCTTGGTGTGCATTAATGCAGTATAGGATAACGTCGTTTTAAAACTACTCATATCTTTTATTTCATAGTTTTATTTTTATTATTTTATTATTTCCCTTCTACGTGACTTTACCGAAAGAACCAAGAAGATACTCTTATATCTCCAAAAGAATGTTCATCTATCCATGTATTTCAGAGGTATAGATACACTCCGGATTTTCCGCTGTCATGGGGAGCAGTTAGTTTGCTTATCGCTGCAATGTTCGTGACAATCGCACAGCTCGTTAATGAAATGCATCCCAGCCACGCGGCGCGAGTCGGTGCGAGTGCGTGCGTGAGCGCCTCCCAGTTCAGCTTGCGGGAGGTTCCTTGCGACTTCGTTGCGAACCACCTTCTGATGGGTTGACGCGTGGGCTGCCACACTGAGCACGTGTCGGGCAGCTCCTGTGGGCCGCTAAGCATCGCAGGGGGGGTGGGGGTGAAGACTAAGAGCGAGCAGCGTTGTGTTCCTGCGAGCGGTGGTCGGAATGGATCGCGAACCCCGCCGAGTCAACGATCCGGTCCGACCGCCGTTCTCTCCCCCCCCACCTCGCTCGAAACGATTAAATACGATCCCAAGGGACTGCCGTACTCCCATAGGATTCCGCGAGAGGGGTTAACCAGTCTCAGATCTGTTGAGTGTCCTTCATTTAACCGGGGCATTAAATAATGCGACGGCGACCTGGGCTACATCAAATCCTTCAGGAACATTTTTGTATTAAAAAACATGTATAGATACCCCACTAATCTTTCGGAAGAAATGTGGTATACCTATTTATTTGCAAATATTATACACATCTCCCACCAAATCAATGAACGTATTAAATCTTCTAAACTCTCGCCTCTGTGAGATATAGAGCCATTGTTGTCACAATATTCAATCAGCTGTTGAAAATATAGCAGAAGGGTCTCTAGAAGAATACATATACTGTAATTGAGTATCTATAAATTGATCACCCTGTGTATACATTTAGTGTTTAATTTTTATGTTAGAAATTGCCATCGCATTTTTGTCATACTACTTGAAAGCAAAATTGTCTACTTTATAAATTAGGAATGTATGATCAATTGATTAATCGATTCAAATAATATCTAACACTCACAAAACATGTGTGCAATTGTCCATCGAAGAATCAATTCCGTATGATTTTAGAAATAGGGTATGCAAGTTCGAATAGGTGAATGGAGTGAATCGGAGTGTAAAAACGAGAAAGAAAGCAAACATAACAATACAACAGAAACGGTAAAAGTTCAACAACAAATTAATAAAATCTTGAATAAAATAACAACCCCAGATTTGTCACATTTCAGTGTTGGGGAAAGTGCTTTTGTAAAATTACAGAGGAAATAAAAAGCTCAAGAAATTAATTGCCCAAAATCGGGAAGCAGGCCGTCTCAAAAACGAGCTCCAAGACTCAGTGAGGCTTTTCTGGTAAAAAAAATATATTTTAAATGTGTACATGCTCACATACAACGTGTACATCGTGTACACCATGTACACACAAATCCCATTTCTATTTGTTAAATGAAGCAGTCCGCATGCCGTCCTGGCTAGTGCACGGGCAAGAGGGTGGGTGGCTGCTTGCCTTGGGTTCCGGCAGGCTCCTTCTCGGCTCTCCTAGGTCTGGGCTGGCTTCGAGCGCTTACTGATCACAGTAAGGGCACATCGATTGCTTGGGGAGGCATTACCCAGCAGTGGATTGACCATGGCCAAATATTATGATGATTACTAATGAAAGTGCATGGCCATACTGCCATTGCCTGTATACGATAGCGCTCTGTTTAATGTTTTATGACAATGCCAAGACGTGTCATGTAATCTGCTCTGGATTCTACTGAAAATGAAGGCTTTGGTTGTGGAGAAATGATTTATTCTGAATTATTCGCCTTTCGTGGAAATATCCTAGACGACATCCCTGAAGAAGAGCCATTGTAAATCGACGTAATGAATGTTTAAAACACTGTATGGAAAACTTTGTATTACATTTTTAAAATTCACATTTCATTCGACCACGTTGGATATTTTTTACAACTTTACATGAGCGCGTGCGAATGTCTTTTTGCTCTTCTGCGCCGTGCAAGTGAATTGTGCAGGTTACACCGAGACTCTGTCGCGATAAGCCACGGGGTTTAAAGGTCCCTATCATCGTCATCGTCAGCCAAAATCAATCCCGTTGGATGAAGGCCTCCTGACATCGTCGCCATCTCTCACGGTCCTGTGATGTGACGATCCAAAGAGAATCTGCAGACGAGCTGGTTTTATCGCTCCATCTCCGTGGTGGGTGTTGAACGGTCCCTAGACACTCGCACTAATAATGTTTTCGTTCAATTTGTGCTTCATTTTTCCTCGTCCAGTTTCCCTGTTCTCCTGCTTGCCAACAAAAGCAGCAATGATTGGTTTAGTTCCGCATGAGCTCCTGCTAATGTACACAGTGCATGCGTCAGTTGATGGCATCCAGAGATGAGAAATTAGAAGAAAAAAACTCCCCCACCCAGACCCCAATATCCAAAACATCTGATCAAGGTGTCCCTTTGTTAAAGTGCCCAGTTGTCACCTTAACGTGTTCAGAGAAGCTCACGACACATGTCCACCATGTTGCCCTCTTGCCGATCAAATCAAGTGCTCATCGTTATTTATTTCAAATTCACCGACGGCGCTTACGAACAATTACAGAAAATATTAAAGTCACTTTGCAAAAAAAAAAAGGTGGAAAAAGCTGGATCTAAAGTAAATCGAGAGGTCGGTAGACGCGGCCTCGTCGGTAAACGGAAGGGACCCCACGATCTTTGGGTTTTTTTCACGTTGCGGCTTCTCGTCCGTTTACGGACGTGCTGGCCGGAGTTGGGGGGGCGGCGGGTTGCGGGGGGGGGGGGGCGGTGTGGAGGAGCGTGCGATGTTATGAGCTGGCGCCGCCGAGTTGCGCTCAGACCGCGCGCGATGGGACACGCGCCCTGCGTGAGCCCATGTTCAGCCCTTCCAGTCCTCTAGGCTGCCTCAACGCAGCACCCTATCTCACAGTGAGTTGCCGCCACACCATGAACCCCGCCGCCACCGCTCCGCTCGCCGCTGCCACCGTCTCGTCAAAGTTAAACTAAGAGAGAGAGAGAGCGAGAGGGAACGAGACAGAGGATAAGCCCAAACAAAGCGAAACTGACCGAGTTTTCGCGACACAGTTTACGCTCGTAGTCTTCCAGGTGATCTTTCCGGCGGACTGATTGTAAAGCCACTGCGACCGTTTTCTTTTTTTAAAAAGCTCGATACGCCTAAACGAAGTGATGGAGTGGGTACGTCTAGATAACATTAATAACGCTCATCTGTGCGAAATGTCCTGTTGTGAAAATGTGCCGAGAGCGGTGTGTTGTACGTAATGCATGGTGTGAATACCGCGTAGCTTGTTCGAAGAAAAATGTTTAAATGCTTAGTTTGCAAGCGTGCAAAACGTGATGACTGCCGATAAATGGTACCTGTGATACGTTCATGTTGGTGATGTATTGCTGAAAAATTATGGTGATATAATTTTAAAGCATTGCCTTGTAAATGATTTAGAACGAGCATTTTTTTGTTACTTAATGTGGTCGGTAATTCTTGTGTTATCCATAATTCAAAGGAAACAGGATTGTAAAGTTTGTGATTCTTATTAATCAGAATTGTACGTGTTTTTTTGTCTGTAATATAGTTTGCAAGTATATTTAATATCAAAGTAGTGGGGGATTGACGTAAACCATTTGAATTTAACAAATATTAATCCAGCTTCTTAAAAAGTGCAATTGTGGTATACAATTCTAAATATGCATCTAAATTAATGGACAATCCAGTGTAAGTGAAATATGTATAATATGAGAAAATATAGTAATTTCCTAATTTCATTGAATACTAAAAATGTTATTGCATCTCTTGGTATTTTCATAAAAACACTATTTTAAATGCCTGAGAATGTGTATATATACATAAATATATATAAACATCTCAAAACTTTGCTCTTTTTTAAAGTAATCTTTCAAATTTAGTTGGAAACATAGCTATTTTTTCAATATATATACACAGTAATAACCAGAGGATATCATAGTAATTTTAGCGAGTCATATTGAATTTAATGTTATGTTTGGCAACAATTTTTGTGACACTCAAAGACACAACTGGAAACATCTCAGTGTGCGTGACCTGCAGCAGTGCGCAACATGTCATCGTGTTGCATTATTAACCATCACCCTGGAGCCCATTTATGTCATCATTACCATCCTTGATTGGCATTCAAGCGAGTAAAACAATCGTCTTCCGCTGAGCTATAACATCCGAGATCGAGCCACGGTTTGAGAGGTCCTGTTTCGGCAACTGATATTTAAGTGCGCGGTCCCTTTATTTATAAATGTACTTATTTGTTTTGATGGGACATTAAGAGCTGCTTGTCGCACGGATTAAAAGGGTTTTTATTTAGAGCAGCCATCGCCGTAAGCTGCCTAAGCGGCTTTCAGGTTTTGATTTTCGCTTGAGGGGCCTCTCCACTGCGGCCTCCGCAGCCTCCCCACGCGACGCCGTGCCCTGCTCCCGCCGCGGTCAGTAGGCCTCCCCGTTACCATCTCCCCTGGGTGCCCCCCTTGCCACCCTCGTTGTCGGCGGGCCCCCACGTGGCTTGCCCCCTTCTCGGATTCTCGGTGGTTTCCTGCCATGCGTGTGCCCTCTCGCCGCTCGTGGGCCTTCCTGTTGCCCTCTCTGATGAGTCGATCCACCTGGCTCCCCCCCCCCCCCCCCCCGACCGACCTCTCTCTTTGCTCCACAGGCCTCTTCCCATATTTATAATCGTCTCTTTGTGAACTCTGACCCGTAGCTCTCTACCTGACCCCTCTTCTCCCCACGCCACCGCGTCGTCTTCCCAGACGTGTGGGAATCGCCCAGGTTGGCCCTCATCTGCCCGTGGCCCTCTCGCTTCGCGTGACCTTCCCCTCGCCCCGTCCGACTCGCACGGCTCTCGAGGGCTGCCGCGACACGAGGCCGCTTCTTGCCGCTCGGGTTCAGCGATTTGTGAAGGGAGCGCGACACCGCCGCTCCCCGCCGGGATCACCGCACCCCGCCGGGATCACCGCACCCTGCCGGGGTCACCGCACCCCGCCGGGCTCGGACTGACACCCACCGGGCGTCCGCTGGGGGTCGGCGTCCGTGGTAGAGAGGCCGCCGTTCATTGGGCTCTTAGAGGGGAATGTCGTCCTTGTTTTTGTGTAAGACGTCCTTCATCGTGGTGGTTGGGCCGCACGTCCGTGGGAATTAGCGAGTCGCCTGTAGTCTGGGCTGTGAGCGTTGCTGGGGGGGGGGGGGGGCTGCTTCGCAAGCGAGTGTGTACCCTGTTAAAAACAAAACGAAAAATCATCGTCGCTACTCGAGTAAAACAGACCCGCATTAGTCTTTTCCACGTACAATTTAATATAATTGAGTCTGTCAGCCTGTTGGCTTTCTAGACAAACGTAACTTTGTATAAAGGTGTCAGTTTTTGTACCAGATAAAAGGGTAAAACTATATTTTGCTACTGGTAAAGGAGGTCTCATAGTGTAAACGTCACTTTATTAAATTAGCAAAAGTGTGGAGCAGTTTTGACCGTTTCGATGTCGTCGTCGTAGTCAGCGAGGTTTGTTCAAGAATCCTTTTGAGTTGCCAGACATTAGTGGCACGATCCCTCTCCATCCCCACGACTTGGAACGCCCTGGTCGCCGTCAAGGCGACGATGTAGACCTGCTCGGCTGTGCAGAGTCAGTCCTATAGAGTGTCTAGAGTGTCTAGAGTGTCTAGAGTGTCTAGAGTGTCTAGAGTGTCTAAAGTGTCTAGAGTGTCTAAAGTGTCTAGAGTGTCTAGAGTGTCTAGAGTGTCTAAAGTGTCTTAGAGTGTCTAGAATGTCTAAAGTGTCTTAGAGTGTCTAGAGTGTCTAGAGTGTCTAGAGTGTCTAGAGTGTCTAAAGTGTCTAGAGTGTCTAAAGTGTCTAGAGTGTCTAGAGTGTCTAGAGTGTCTAAAGTGTCTTAGAGTGTCTAGAATGTCTAAAGTGTCTTAGAGTGTCTAGAGTGTCTAAAGTGTCTAGAATGTCTAGAGTGTCTAAAGTGTCTAGAGTGTCTAAAGTGTCTAGAGTGTCTAGAGTGTCTAGAGTGTCTAGAGTGTCTAAAGTGTCTTAGAGTGTCTAGAGTGTCTAGAGTGTCTAAGTGTCTAGAGTGTCTAGAGTGTCTAGAGTGTCTAAGTGTCTAGAGTGTCTAAGTGTCTAGAGTGTCTAAAGTGTCTTACAGTGTCTAGAATGTCTAAAGTGTCTTAGAGTGTCTTGCTTGTTAAGGATTCAAGCGGCAATGCACCGTGCGCTAACATGCCCATTCGTATTTCGCAAGTTAATATAATTTGAATGTACATTTGGCAGTGTGTTGTGATTGTAATATCTTGCTTCCTAAACTTAAACAAAGTGTTTAATGTATAGAATCAATTGCTATTTATGTAAACCAATATATCTCTCTCTCGATGCATATCCGATCGCTTGCCCATGTGTCCGTGGCACGTTCCATGCGCTGCAGGAATAAGTCATGTGGCAGGTAATGTCACCGCTGTTTGAGGACAGGCACAGTGTAACACTTGGGTGATAACACCTTGACCCGAGTGTCCACACCTTGACCCGCTGCGATGTCGCTTGAGACGACGGAGGTCACCGTGCGCCACGCTCGGCGAGGCGGCGCCATCTTAGTGGGCGTCAAGTCACTGGTGGTGGTGGTGGTAGTGGTGGTGGTGGTGTTGGTGGTAGTGCTGGTGGTGGTGTTGGTGGTGGTGTTGGTGGTAGTGGTGGCATTGGTGGTAGTGGTGATAATGGTGGTGGTGTGGGTGGTAGTGGTGGCGTTGGTGGTAGTGGTGGTGGTGTTGGTGGTGGCGTGGGTGGTAGTGGTGGTGTTGGTGGTAGTGGTGTTGGTGGTAGTGGTGGTGTTGGTGGTAGTGGTGGTGTTGGTGGTGGTGTTGGTGGTGGTGTTGGTGGTAGTGGTGGTGGTGTTGGTGGTGTTGGTGGTGGTGATAGTGGTGGTGTTGGTGGTAGTGGTTGGTAGTGGTGGTGGTGGTGGTGTTAGTGGTGGTGTTGGTGGTAGTGGTGGTAGTAGTGGTGGTGGTGTTGGTGGTAGTGGTGGTGGTGGTGTTGGTGGTGGTAGTGTTGGTGGTAGTGGTGGTAGTGTTGGTGGTAGTGGTGGTGGTGTTGGTGGTAGTGTTGGTGGTAGTGGTGGTAGTGTTGGTGGTAGTGGTGGTGGTGTTGGTGGTGGTGTAGGTGGTAGTGGTGGTAGTGGTGGTGGTGTTAGTGATAGTGTTGGTAGGGTGGTAGTGGTGGTGTTGGTGGGGGTGTGGTGGTAGTGGTGGTAGTGGTGGTGGTGTTGGTGGTAGTGTTGGTGGTAGTGGTGGTGGTGTGGTAGTGGTGGTGGTGTTGTGGTGTGTTGGTGGTAGTGGTGGTACTGTGTGGTGTGTTGGTGGTAGTGTTGCTGGTAGTGGGTGGTAGTGTGGTGGTAGTGTGGTGGTGGTGTTGGTGGTGGTGTTGGTAGTGCTGGTGGTAGTGTTGGTGGTAGTGTTGGTGGTGTTGTTGGTAGTGTTGGTGGTAGTGCTGGTGGTAGTGTTGGTGGTGCTGGTGGTAGTGTTGGTGGTAGTGTTGGTGGTAGTGTTGGTGGTGCTGGTGGTGGTGTTGGTGGTAGTGGTGGTAGTGGTGGTGGTGTTGGTGGTGGTGTTGGTGGTAGTGGTGGTGGTGTTGGTGGTAGTGTTGGTGGTAGTGGTGGTAGTGGTGGTGGTGGTAGTGGTGGTAGTGGTGGTGGTGTTGGTGGTAGTGGTGGTAGTGTTGGTGGTGGTGGTGGTAGTAGTGGTAGTGTTGGTGGTAGTGGTGGTGGTGTTGGTAGTAGTGGTGGTGGTGGTGTTGGTGGTGGTAGTGTTGGTGGTGTTAGTGATAATGTTGGTAGTGGTGGTAGTGGTGGTGTTGGTGGTGGTGTTGGTGGTGGTAGTGGTGGTGGTGTTGGTGGTAGTGTTGCTGGTAGTGGTG